TTTTTATTAACAAGCAAAATAATTAAAAACAAAACCACAACAACCTTAAAGTTGAAACAGCGGTAGGTCAAATTGCTGCTGGAGTTCAGATGTACCTGGGGTACATGCTCTCTCACTGTGAGGCAGGAAACAGGCACATGACTGTGCACCTAGGTATATATGTGACCAAGAACAATCAGAAATGGAAACCACCAGAGAAGAGACAGCATCAAGAACTTTTCATCACGCAATCCCAAAGCGCTCTGCTCTTTTCCTTTTCTTTGCCTCTGTATCCTCTGGGGTTCCAGTTCCGGCTGAACTTGTGACAATCCCAAATTGCTCCTTCCTCTTTTTCAGCTTCTCATCATCTTCAGACTTTCTAGAGATTGAAGAGACATTCAAACCAAATCTTTGTGCTCTTTCCTTTAGCTTATCCAGGTTAACCATAGGCTTGGTATCAGATGACAGACCTTTTGTTGGAACTGAGGAAATACCAAACCTGGCTGCCTGAGCAGCTTTCTTGCTTTCCAAGCTCACAGGTACATTGAATCGTTCAGCCCTCTTTTGCATTCTCTCAGTCTGTGGCATCTCAGATGTAATTTTTACCACTTTTTTCTCTGATGCCACATCAACTGTTTTTTCAGGAGGTTCTTCTTCTTTGACGGGCAGTTCTACAGGCTTTGGTTCTTCTTCCTCTGTTTCATCTCCCAGTACATCTTCTTCATTTGCCTCCTCTTCGGCATGCTCTTCAAGATATGCCTGGAGCCTGTTGATGAGATCTTGTTTTATTCCTTTGGTCTCTAAACCACGTGCAAGACATTCTTGCTCTAGTTCAGCAAGCTTCAGTTTATGAAGCTCCACTGTCTCCGTCACCATCTTGTTATCCCGCCACTACCCTTACTTTGTTTTATAACTTTACTTTTTATTCTTTGAGCATGCTGATTTAGCACTCTGTTGTTAGTGGTGCCCTTGTTAGTGCTCGAGGTCAGCTGTTCAGCCTTATTTGCTGTTTCTCAGCCTGAAAGCTTCCTTTATTTGATAGCTACAATTATTTTATTTTATTTTTACCTTCATTTTTCTTCTGCTGAGATGTTGTGAGTAGTGGGGCTTTAGTTTTGTTCCTTTGCTTAATTTTTCAAATGATGTTTATAAACAGCTTGAACTGTATGGGTTTTTCCCTCTGGTTTTTAAATTTTTCAGTAATAATGTCTTGTTATTGACTTTCATGACCTCTGCAGAAGGGACTCTGATCTCACCTTTGTTAGCGTTGAACCTTTTACCCTGTCTTAGTTTTCTTGTTGCTGAAACAAAAGAACCTAACAATGAAAGTTAAAAGAGGAGAGACTTACGAAGCTCACAGACTGTAGTGGTCTCAGTCCATAGCTGGCTGACTCCAATGGCAGGATCGTGTGATGGAGGAGCAGCACAAGCAGGGAGGGGTGGCACCTATGCCCGCTGTAGGGCAGCCTTACCCTGCCTGGAGCTGTGCCAGGCCAGTCAGTGGACTCAGGTAGTATTCACACACCTGAGCTCCAGCTCCACACACTCTAGACCTAGTCATCTCTAAACAAGCCCCACCTGTGAATGACCACGTGTGGCTGTGGGGGGACATCAAGACACAAGCCACAGCTTACTCCTATTGTTTTCCCCTCTTTTCTGTAATTGTCTTTTTTTTTCTCATCATGCTTTATTATAGATGTTTTCTTCCACAATATTTTCTGATTTATTCTTTTGCTTTCTAAACCACTGTTAATTCACTGAATTCCTTATTCTAGAAATTCATTTGTTTTTGGTGTTTTTGCTTTAAGTATTATAAGGGTGATGACTCAGTGGAATAAGCGCTTCCCTGACAAGTGCAAGGGCCTGAGTTAAATCCCTGGTTCTGCAAAAAAAAAAAAAAAAAAATTTACTTTGAGCAATATGTATCTCATTTTAGAAATGTTTTATATTTTGTTTGCTAACTATACACAAAAAAAGTTAAAAAAAAAAAAACCTTTTAAGTATTACAATTTATTTCTTCTTTTTTTTTAGTTCCATATTTTTGTCACATTTCTCAGTGTGGTTTTTATTTCTTTGAATGTGTTTAAAATAGTTATGGTAAAGTCTGTGTCCAGTGCTTGCTATAGTGCTAACTACTGTATAACATGGGTCTTTTGTGGCTTTTTCTCATCTTTTTTCTTTTTCTTTCTTTTTTTTTTTTTTTTTTTTTTTTTTTTTTTTTTTTTTTTTTTTGGCCTGCCTTTGTATTTACCTTAACATCATCACTAACTTCTTAGCTCTTTGATGCCTGAAATGATTATTTCCAGCTTTTGTGATTGTTCTCTGCAAAAAGATTGTCCTTGTTACTTAGTCTTGCTGCGCCTTTTTCACTGCCACTCTTTTTCATATTTTATTTTTTTAATTAGGTTTAATGGTACATTTTAGGTATACATAGTGTTCACATTCATCATAAGGAATTTTTACCTGTACATGATATAACTTGATATTTTCCCATTCCCCCACCCTCCTTTCAACCTCTCTTCCCTTCCTTATTTACAAAAGCTTTGTTTCCTTTTTTTTCCTTTTCTCATTTTTCAAATATAGTTTTCTGACATGCTCCTGCAAAACATACTTGTATAACTTGAGAGTGTTTTGGGGGGCCAAGGAGATAGCTCAGTAGACTAAGTGCTTCAAGGACCTGAGTTCAATCCACAGTTCCACCAAAAAAAAAAAAAAAAAGTGTGTTTGAAAATTGTTTCCAACTCATGTTGAGACCCTGAACTATTTGTTTGTCTAATATATAGGTGCTATTTGCTCTTAGAAAAGAAAATACCATTATTCCAGACTCATGGTTCTCAAACTGGGCTAAAGACTTGAAATTCCATGGAGGTCCCTCAGGGATTCCCATGGGAGAAAAATGAGCTTCTGTCATTAAAGTCAGAGGTAAAGCCAGGCATGGAGGTGCATGCTGACAATTGTGACACTCAGGAGACTTAAGGCAAAAGAATCACCACAAGTTAGAGGCCAGCCTGAGACAGGAGGGTCAGTGCAGCTTTGAGGCCACCCTGAACTGCACAGCAAGACCTTTTCTCAAAAATAAAGTCAGATGCGAAGAAGCATTGCTGTGGGCAGGTAGGTAGAGCATTTGGAAGTTTTTATCAGTCTTTCCTTAGAGAACTATTTAACAAAACAAAAATAATGGAGCTTATGAACAGGGAAATTTGTGTTAACTATTAAAGTCATGTTCATAATTCAGATTTGGGGTGAGGAATAGCAAATGCCAGACAGGAGGCTGTGTGTGCTGTGAGGCAGTACCTCTTAGTTGTAACTAATTTGTATGATTTGAAGAATAAACCCCGTATTATTTAGACTCTCATCCTGTATACAATACCCTTTTGTGCTATGTTCTTTTTAAATGACTATAATTCATTTAAGTTTTTAAAGTAGTGCAAGCCAAAGAAAAGTTGAAAACTGGGTTAATAATGAAGTTCATGGGTGACTGTAGGATCTCTGGCTAGCATCTGTTTTCAAGTGCTATCCCCTTGCTGTCCAAAAAGAGCAAATATACCTCCGGGTGTGGTGGTGCACACCTGTAGTCCCAGCACTCAGGAGGCTAAGGCAGGAGGATCACCATGAGCTCAAGGCCACTTCGACTAGTTAGGCAATCCTATCTTAAAAAGGAAAGCAAACGTAGGTACCTGCTGATGGTGGGCTGAGCATCTAGAGAGAGAGATTTGAATGGCAGTACATTTCCTGGGTGTACCCATAGAGTAATGAAAGTGCTTAAGACATGCACGATACATCATCTATCTCATAGTCATTATCATCACATGGAACCTAATTTCTCCTAATAGGTCCCACTGTGGGACCAGCTGAGCTGGCAGTTGCGACTGGGCGTGGTGGTGCGTGTCTGTGAGCCCAGCACTTGGAAGGCTGTGAACAGAAGCACCACGCGTCCGGTCTCCGAAGCGAGACCCTGAACACCCTGTAGGCCCTTCCCTAAATACAAAAACAAAAACACAAAACAAAAAAAAAGAGCATGAAACATATTGTGGGATCAGTAAGAAAGTTCGTATTTGTTGTGCCCAAGAATAACAATTTGAATTCTGATACTTTAAGATATTTTCATTTTGGAAGTTAAAAATTACTTTTATCCTATAGGAAATGACTCCAAAGTAGATGGTTTAGTAAACTTTGAGAAGTTAAGAATGATTTCTAAGGAAATCCGTCAAGTTGTTCGAATGACTTCTGCTAACATGGACCCAGCTATGATGTTCCGCCAGAGGTATGGCACAACATTGTGTAAAAGTGTTACGCGATGGTATAATAACCATCACAATGTTCATTATGTATGCACTGAACTAAGAGCTTTGCCCATATCAGCCTCATGTGTTAGTCTGCAACAGCGGTTGAAAGCCTGTGGCGCCTGTGCTGCAGCAGGCTGTTTGTATCACTGAAGCTCTGGGAGGTTTGTCATCACTGGTTTGTAACAGCACCATAACAGATAGGTGATGTTAGCCTGCCTGTACAGCTAAAGAAGGTGAAAGCTCAGGAAGTTTTGTAGAGTTTGTGAGTTAATTTTTTTAAATATATGGCTAGGGGGCCTGGCCTTAGCTCAGTTGTTTAAGTGGCTGCTTCCACAAAGCTGTCAGCCTCAGGTTGCTGGAGTTCGATCCCCACAACACTCCAGCCAGCCAAACCACCCCTGAGGGCATTCGGAGCAAAAAAAAAAAAAAAAACCTTAAATATATGGCTAACTCTGTATCGTTCTTTAATATATCAGTGAAGGGCAAATGTTTATTGAAGTTACCAGAGGACAGATGATTTCATCTGTTCTAATTTAGGAAGTGTGTGTGTGTGTGTGTGTGTGTGTGTGTGTTTTGTCAAATTTAAACTTCATTCGTCTAGAATATAATTATTTTTCCTCAAATTATGATGCTGTTTATTTGTGTATAAACTTTACCAGAATTTAGAAAGTATGAATTAAATTATTAAAAACAAGTAGCTGTATTCTATATTAATCTGACTTTCTAAGACTGCTTTTTAAAATGTTTAGTATAATAAAGATTTCCTCAAATGTCTGTATAAAGTAGTTAAGCTATTCTCAGTAATTTTTGTACTTTTCAGGCTGTAAGTAGACATTACATAATTCCTGTGGTTTAAAAAATGTACTCTGCTCAGGAAACTTAAATACTTGTTGATATTTTAAAAACCAAAAGAGTTTTTATAACCAAACAGAGTGTCAGAACCTTTTTTGTTTGTTGTCTTTGTTTTGTTTACATCACAGTGTAGGGGTTTTTGTGTCTTAAGCAGTCAGTCCGATGGTGGCTATAGGTGAGGTACTCACAAGTGGAGGAAAAGACATGTCAGATCTCCACTCCTCCCCCATCCCATTGCTGCCCCTAGCTGTCACTGCATGTGTCCAACAGTCTGGAAGCAGAAAGCAGCAAGACCAAAGTAAAGCTGGAGGAGGGCTTGTTTTTATTTGTGTCTTGTGTACATTCATGTTCTTGTACGTTAGCCTTGCCATTCTCTTGACTTACGTAGAACTCCATTTCCTCACCTGTGTGACCAGTCTGATCCCTGAAGACGTAATCAATTCTGAATGAACACACACCATATGTACATGTCTGGCGTACCAGCTGTACTCCAGAAAGGAGCAGAAGCATGGGGTGTGGTAGTGTGCTCCCCTAATCCCAGCTATCTGGATGCTGAACAGCCTGGGCAGTTTAGCAAAGCCCTATGTCAAAATAGGGCCTTCTTGTTTGCCTATGTTGTACCTGGGCCTTCATGCTGAGCTACATTTCCAGTCCTTTTTTATTTTTTTTATTTTGAGACAAGGTCTTTCTTAGTCTCTCAGGCTGGCCTCCAACTTTGGATCCCCATCTCAGGCTCTGAGTGCTGGGATTACCAACATTCCCAGATCAAAACAAAATTGTTAAGAGGGCTAAGAATTTAGCTCTCCAGTAGAGCACTTGCTTGAGATCCTGGGATCAGTCTCTGGTTTCAACCTCCCTCCCCTCAAAAAGAAGAAATAAAAAAGTCTGATGTAGAAATTAACAAACTTGGTTGCTTTCTTAAAATTAGCCTGGATTGAGTAGAATAAGGTATAAGGGAAAATAAATATTTACATTGAGATTGGATGAATTTTTCCCAAGTCACTTTTGTCATCCAATGTTGAAATGTATCCTTTCTTTAAGGAAATATTTGCCCAAGTGGATGGTAAATAAACCTAGCAAGAGCAGAGTAACCCCTTTTAGTTTAACAGTAATCAGTATGCTAAATGACACTCTTTAATCAAACAGTAACTTAAAGACATTCTATTATAAAGACTAAAATAATATATTTTTACTTACATCTTAAGTTGAGTTTGCTAATGGAATTTTTTGTGAAGTATCATAGAAAATTTTACACTGAAACTAAAATTATATATCTTTATATTCCTTGTAATTTTATCACTTAAATAAATGGCTCAAAAATCTTTTCAAAAGAAGTATTCAGAAATTCTATTCTTGGGCTGGGGAGGTAGCTCAGAGGAATAAGTGCTTACCTGGCAAGAAAAAAGTCCTGAGTTCAATACCTGGTACCACAGAAGAAAAAATATATATATACATATACATATACATATATATGTGTATATATGTATATGTATATATATGTAATAATATATGTATAATGTAAAAATAAATTATTACTTATAAAAATAAATTATATTCCTAAGGGCTGGCCAGATAGCTCAGCAGACTAAAGTGCCTTCTGAGGCAGAGTGCAGTGGCCAGGGTTTGATCTCCTGCATGCCGTGCTGGCCCCGCCCCCAGGCACTCTGAGAAGGTGCTTGAGACTAGGTGTGGTGGCTCGCATCTGTAATCCCAGTGCTTGAAAGGCTGAAAGCAGGAGGATCACTACGAGTCTGATCTACATAGTGAGACCCTGTATACCCTGTACTAAAAAAATAAATAAATAAAATTCAATTCTTTACGATTTTTCTCTAAAAACTGAATTTATAGTGATTTTATGTTTTTCCTTAAGCTTCTTATTAGTGTAAACTTAAAAATCAATTCGATAGTAAAAACATAACTAATGTAAAGGATATTCTAAAATACAAGTATGTACTACTGTAGGAATTTGGCCTTCAGGGGATTACCATAACTCATCCTACCCTTCTGCATTTCATTAAAGTCATTTTACTGTTAAGCTGTTTTTTCCTGGTGAAATTTTTCTGTTCTATTCTGTCTGCACAGTTTCTCTGACTATCAACTTTTGTCTTTTTTCTGTGCTTTCCTATTCAAACACGTGCCTCAATGTTTGTGGCTCTTGCTTACAGGAAGAAGAGGTGGCGGAGTCTGGGGTAAGTGTAGAGATGAACACAACTGGAGTGAAGGTTGTGCAACTTTTAACGTATACTTGCATCCTTCTCATTACTGCACGCATATAAAATAGCATGCATTCTATTAACTCTGTCAACCTACGTTCCTGACAAACGCCTTTTGCTAACAAGGTGAACTAGTGATAGAACTAGCTTTTTTGTTTTTTGACTCTTCCACTATTGATGTTCTGCAAGCTCTTTTTAGATATAAAGTTAAGCAGATTCAGTTATATGACAGTGCTGCTGATCGTAGTGAACACTTGTGTACTTGCTGTGTGCTATACACTATTCTATGCAGTCAGGAGGAATTATCTTCATGTGTCTTCACCCTGGGAACAGATGCTGCTGTTCCTCTACTTTGTCTTATTCAAATGCTATATTTTATAAAAGTAAATTCTAAGTATATAAGAAAGGACGAGAGATATATTCATATTTATTTAATGTTTGCAATTTGCCATTCATTTTTCAAAAAGAGGTAGCTTGTATCCAAGCTATACTATAAAATTGAACTAGAAGATGATTTTAATTTCTCAGATCCACTGATGCCTGCCTCAGATTTCCAGCACTGAATGAAATTTATTTTAAATTTCCACCAGTTTTACTTAAAGATGCATCTCTCTGTGAAACTATACAGAATCAGAAACATGCACCTTGTTATTAAAGGAGGCTCAGATCTCTTCTGTAGAGTTGTGTCTATTGAGTCATTTAATGTTAGGAATCTTAATATATCTTGTACCTAGTCTTTGATTTGTAGTTGAAGGAAGTGATGGTTTTGGAGGGTGGAGTTGCTAAAGAAAAGAATTCTGTTGTTTAAGACTAGTGAACCCTAAATTAGATGCTTCCATACATGCAAGGGTCTCTGTGGCCACCTCCTTGAGCCCTGCCGTTGTGGTCGTGCTGTCTGTCAAAACTTAGTGAACTTAATTCTCCTTCTATTGTGCTTTGTTCTCCCTGCTCTGTGTTGTGTTTCTTATGTATTCTTCTGTACCATACATTTATGTGTTGGTCTTTTCTGTTTCTCCTAAGTACAAATAGAAGTTGATGCTGACATTATTAATGTAAAGAGAAATATTTGGATTTGGGGGATGATTGAATAACTTCTGTAAAACACATTCACTATTTATTCAGTTTTAGGGTTTGTGTTGTATGATTCTTGATTGGGCATGTTCATCTTATGTCTGTTTTGGAAATAATTTAGAATATGTTAATTTATTATATTTTCTGTTACTGGAATTTTTATCCTGGATTTATTTGACAGCCTTTTTTGTTTTTATTTTAGACATCAGCTAAGGTAAAAAATAATTAAATAGTAGAGTTAAAATTTGCTCCTAAATGTTTAGGTTTAATTTTACTGCATTGCTTTGAATCCAAGACATTATCAATTGTTGGATGTACCATTATTTTATACACTATGAAAAAAAACCACTGCAGTGTCCTGTAACCATTGAAAATTTTAAGAGCTTATTACAAGAGCTTTTATAAATTTATAGACTTAGATATATTTACTATATAAGATCCTTGTCCATACATACATAAAAAGGAAAATTAAGCAGAGCCAGTTGGTTTAGAGCTCTGATTCAGACTGTGACTCTTCTGTCACTTTTATAGGCATTAGATTGAGTTTCCCCCAGCATGCATGTTAGTGGTGCATCATTTTCAGATAAGCCATGGAGAAGGAAAACTTTTCGTATATGCTGTCTGCCTTCACACAGAGGTAGTTTTTTTTTTATTTTGTTTTGTTTTGTTTTGCTTTGAGACAGGGTCTTGCTATGTAGTTCATTCAGGCTGTCCTTGAACTCGCTATGTAGTTACCTAGTCCAAGCTGACCTTACACTCGCATCGATCCTCTTCCCTCAGCCTCTAGAGTGCTGGAATTACAGCACTTGGTACTCTGGGTGTGTCACTGAAATTGTCAGATTCACTCTGTAACAGTTGTTTCCTGGAGACTAAAAGGATTTATCTGTAATGTCATTTGAATTTTTTTCCCAAACTGTTCCGCAGGTTTTGAGGTTTCGACGCTGTAAGTTGTAACAATTAGTTTCTGCCTACCAGTAGCAAATGAAAGTCTCATCAAGTATAAGATGTACCTATTTCAAAGACTTTAATGAGACGGGAAAAAAAAATACCCTAGCATTTTTTCATCTATGTTTCCCTTAATTATACTGAATACATTAGGATTCAAAGTCTGCTTAAACTAGATAAGTGAGTAATTAGGAACAAATTGTCCTATGGTCTTGCTATGGCAAGCAGAGACACTGAAACAACATCCAGGAATTGGAGGCAGATTTATTTTACTTGAGTGGACATTGGTGGGGATCGTTTCCAAAATAGCAGGCCCTGACCTCTGATGGCCTAGGGCTTCTATTGGATAAGCCGGCAGAAAGTGCAGGGGCAGAATAGCTTGTCCATTGGGGTTGATCTGTACAGTGCACATCACAGTGACCAGCCGTTTCTAAGAGACAGGAGCAACTGGATCTGGAACAGAAACTATTACCTGGACAACTGACAAACTTCAGTTAGTTATTGGAGATGATGGGGAATTTTCTTCTACAGTCTGTGTAAAACACTTTTTGTAAATCTGAGGCAAATTTAGAAAATTTATAAATGTTATCTTGGTTTTTTGTTGTGTTTTGTTTTGTTTGGCAGAGCCGGGGATCGAACTCAGGCCCTTGCACTTGCCAGGGAAGCGCTTATTCCACTGAGCCATCTCTCTGGCCCGATATAAATGTTATCTTGGAATGGCATCTGCCTTTAAAATAAAAATTATCATAGGGCTGGCCAAATAGCTCAGTGGATCAGGGGCTGAGGGTTTGATCCCAAGGCCTGCCGTGCGGGCCCCGCCCCTGGGGGCTAAAACCACAATTGAGACTGGGCATGGTGGCACAGGCCTATAATCCCAGCTCTTGGGAGGCTGTGAACAAGAGAATCACTACAAGTCCAATCTAGTAGTGAGACCCTGAACACCCTGTAGCCCTTCCCTAAAATATAAAAAAATAAAAATTATCTGTAAGAACCTTGTACTCACTTTACTAGAAAAAGTATTGCATTTACTGTTCTCTGTTGGTTTTAGTTGTAGTCATTGTGTAATGAGACTTGACAAAAAGAATAGAGTTGGGGGAAGCTGCAGTTGTTTACATTGTGGTTATTTCTGCCCAGTTTGCAGTGCTAGCACATTGGGAAGTAAAATCTTTGATCTCCACCTCTAGAACCCAAATATTGCCTGACCATTCCATGTGTGAATGGAAACTGAGTAATTTTTTACTGTGTTTCTGGACTCTTACGTTGAATTGAGTATCAGTGCTGTTGCTTACAGCGAATAGCATACTAGTTGTTCTCTTCAAATTTTGAGCAACATTTGATGCCCAGTAGGACCGGCAGCATGCTCAGGGTGCGCCTGCACCAGTGGCAGTGGTGGCGGCGGCGGTGGTGGCGGCATCTCCACAGCAATACAGAGCGGCCCAGCCGCTGGAGAAATTGCTTGCTGGAGAGCTGTGGTGCGCAGATCTGACTGAGGATAGACTTCTCCAGACTTAGACTCTTGCTGTATCTTCAGAGTGTAGATGCCTCCAGGGCCAGATGAATGCCTTTTCTCCTCACAGTTGTCATGGGTTAGGCACAAACACAAGTGTGATCCAGTATGTTGCTGAGGGAGAAATTGTATCTTTAAAAAAAAAAAAAAAAAATTCTGCATTTTGCTAAATCCTGTTCTTAATTGAGAACATTGCCATGTGTGCCAACTGACTTTGCATTAATGCTCTTCATCTTTTAACTCATTTACATCAGCATGCAGTAGCATTAACAGAACAAAATCTTTTGATCTTCATTTTCTTGTGCTTGATTCTCATCTGTACAGTTACTTACTGTGATTCCCGTCTTCTTATAGGTCCCTGAGTCAAGGCAGCACAAATTCAAATATGTTGGATGTTCAGGGAGGTGTTCACAAGAAAAGAGCACGCCGCAGCTCTCTGCTCAATGCTAAGAAGCTGTACGAGGATGCACAGATGGCGAGGAAGGTGAAGCAGTACCTGTGCAGTCTGGATGTAGACACGGATGAGGAAAAGTTCCAGGTCATGTCACTTCAGTGGGAGCCTGCGTATGGAACCTGTGAGTACAGGTTTTCATCTGTGTGACCCAAAGAAAAGGAAAACTTGGTTATCCAAATTATGCTGAAGTCCCAGTAAAATTGTTAAGCTTTCATCTACTAAGACTACCGACATACTGCAAGCATTGTGTGATTCTGTTAGTTAGATTCTGGATCCCACCCACCCTAGTATTTACTCTGCAATAAATAGAGGGATAAATAATTCTTTAAGAAGCTTTAGCAAGGCATGACAGCATATGACTGTAGTCCCAGCACTTGGGAGGCTGAGGCAGAAAGATTTCTGTGAATTTGAGACCAGACTGACCTAGCTGCAACTTTATAAAAAAATCTTACAAAAACTGGAACATTATAGAGAAGCCAATTTGAGAACATTTTTTGCATTCATCTTTAGAAAATAAATGAAATTTTTACCTTTTTAACTGAATGGATAATATTTGCCAACTATAAACACAAGAAATTTAACTAGAATTGAACATAGATGTCAGTAAGTTGAGTTAACAGCTGGACAGTACTGTGAGAGGCGGCATGTGCTCAGTACTAGCACTCAGCCGCTGCTGTCCTGATCTGCTCACGCTCTAGCCGAAGCTGCATTCCAGGAGCACAAACCAAACGTGTGTCCCTGGGCCAAGGAGGTCATTAGTTGTAAAAGCAGAAATCAAAGACAATATTGAGTTATAAACAGCTCCCAAAAGGATTCTCATGTTAAATTATGGGTTAAATACTTTCCCTTAAAGATTATAGTAGAATTCTAAATTTCTAGGTGACAAGAAAAATGGCAGTTGTCATGTTTGTTTGTTTGTTTGTTTGTTTGTTTGTTTTTAGTGCAGGATCTACAGGTCTCACTGCACAGATCGGACTGCCAGTGATTCTCCTGGTTTCAGCTTCCCAAATGCTGGGATTATAGGCGTGCACCATCAACGCCCAGTCTCAGTTGCCTTCTCAGCACACCCTGGGGGTGGTGCCAGCATGGCACACCAGGGATCGAACTCCGGTTCTTGCATCTGCTTAAGCAGACTTTAATCTGCTGAGATACCTGGCCGGCCCTTGTTTTTGGTCTTTTTGAGACAGACTTTCACTATGCAGTTCAGGCTGGCCTTGAACTCACTTTGTAGCCCAGGTTGGTCCCGAACTCACAGTGATCCTCCTCCCTCAGACTCCCAAATACTGTGATTACAGGTGTGAATCAGCACTCCCAGCCATAGTAGTTTTCATGGATTGACCCTAAGATTGATAGATGGAATAGTATTTGCATAGCAGTAGAAAAAGTATGTCAACAGAGTAGAAAAGAGTATATGGAAATAGAATTAGATTCCTTTTAAAATTAAGATATGACAGTGAACTTTAAAATACAGGGTAAGAAGTTATTTAGTAAATGCATTATCTCTATTGCAATTCTTTCTATATCAACTCTATTGCATTTGGAGAATGAAATAAAATAATAAAAGCAATTAACAGTCTTAGCTGAATACTTTATAAACGTTGTCACTGGCTAGGTACTGCAATGCATGCATGTAGTCCCACTTCCTCTGGAGGCTGGGCAGGACAGTCATTGAAGACTAGCCAGGCAATAAAACAAGACACTATCTCCAACCCCACAACCCCAAATTGTTCTTTATTTCTCTACTCTTTGAGGTACCTAATATTAGTACTATGAGATAATGCACCTGAAAATGTACTTATACAAACATGTTGCTATATTACAGTACAAAAGAAATCATTTAGATACCAAGTACGTGAGAATTGAATGATATATGACAAAATAATTTATAACTTCTTAAAAATAATTTTATTAAAGTAATAGGTATATAGTTTTGGGTGGTACCTGAAAAAAATCACATTGGATAACCCAAATGTCAACCATGTGAAAGTGATACATGTCAAAAGTAGAACATAAAGAACTTTTAAATTTAATTTTTTTTTTTTTTTTTTTTTTTAATACCAGGGATTGAACTCAGGACCTTGTGCTTGTTAGGCAGGTACTTACACTGCTGAGGTATCTCATAGGCCCTAAGTTTTCCGTATGTTTTAAGGTTGAGGCAAATACATATTTAATTTATTAAAGCCCTCTGACCTTGATGAGTTATCATCAAAGTTATTTTTTTCAAGTAACTCAATGTAGACTTTTAATTTTACAATTTGTCTGATACTCGGGTATTCCAGACCTACTCACATGCATACAGCTGTAGGCCTTTCTCTTCCTACACCCAACCAAGACTTCTCTATCTTTTCTCCTAACTTTAAATGCATGTTGATACTGATTTGAAATGGGAAAGTCTGTGGGCTTTTCTTTCTGAAACTGGGCTTGAAAATGTAATTTGATGCAGATTTCTTTAATTTAGTCTGTGTCTTAATTTGATTTCTAGTGTCTAATAGATTTTTAAAAGTTTAAATGTTGACTGCCCCATGCCCAAATATAGTTGAGTTCTTGCTAATGAACACATAGTTTGGGGCATTCTTCTGCCACCGCTTTCATATCTTAAGTGATTTCTCTAGGTGGTTTTATTTTTGCACTGAAACAACTATTAAAATGTCACTATCATCAAAAATTAATTAGTGGGCCGGTGAGATAGCTAGCAGTCTAAAATGCCTGCGTAGGCAAGTGCACGGGGACCTCGGTTAGATCCCTGGCACCACAAGCTGTGCCAGCCCTGCTCCCAACGTGGGCTGAACCAGCCACAAAAAAAAAAAAAAAAATTGATCCGTATCAAAAAGAAATTAGTTTTTAACTATCCAAAAGATGATTGTTGGATTCAATTAGTTAATGAACCCATGTATATTGTCTCCTAGGGTCTCTATGTTTTAGTTTTCTGATACGTTCCCTGGTTGATATCACCCCAAATATTCTCTAGGCTTTTGTGATAAAAGCATAATTTCTGTGGTAGCTGTGCTGGCACAGATTAAACACCTGTTTTATCTTGGTAGGCAGTTGAAAAACCACAGTGAAGTTCTTAAGTTGCACCTACGTGAGGCCATCCTGACTAACCAAAGGACTGAAAGTCCTGTTGCCTAAGGAATGTATTTCCTTTGGACTATGATACTGATTGTGTATGAAGGAGACAGCTTTTGTCTCTTAAATCAGGGTTCCCTAATCTAGTCCCCCCAATCTGTGGAGTTTAGGAAAGTGTTTCTTAAGTTTCTGAGCAAGTTTATCTGAAAGGTGCAGCAATTGTTGCCTAATTGAAGGGAAACAAAGGCTGATTTAGTAGAAATAGAGAGTAGAATTGAGGAGAGGCAGGGTACCTATTTCAAGAGGGCAGGCCAGTGCTGGGTTACACAGGGGCTTGTAAGCCTTGTGTTAGTCACTCTGCTGTTGCCCGGAGAATAGCTTAAAGGCATGCTAGAATTGACACAGCCGGAGAGGCACTGCAGTAGTATGGATGAGAGAACGTGGGCTTCCAGCAGTGGAGGTAGAAATGAAGCTAATTAAGATAATGGATTTAAGAATTATTTAGGAAACAAAAGTAACAGATTCTAAAGCAGATTCTATTCAGAGATATTTTATAATACTTAAATGAAACTCCTTTTAGGAATATTAATCTTTTATGTTTTGTGTGCTAAAAATGAATAGTTTTTAAATAATCATCTTATTCTGTATGGTAGCAACCTTACCTTTAAAACAGTTTAGAGTCACCTGTTCTCTCTTCTATTAGTGACTAAGAATTTAAGTGAGAAAAAATCAGCCAAATCATCTGAAATGTCTCCAATGCCTGTGAGGTCAGTGAACCAAATAGCGAAAGCCCACTTGCATCAGCCCCACAGAGTGAACCAGGTGCTCCAGGTGCCAGCTGTTAATTTGCACCCCATGAGGAAGAAGGGACAAGCCAAAGACCCTGCCCTGAGTGAGTATTCACAGCTGATGTTACACTGGTGTAGTTAGAATTTCCAGAGGAATTAAGAGAGACAAATGCAAATCCTTGGAAAATAGGATGACTACACAAATGAAAACACATTTCATTTTGCTTATAGATGTTCTTTAAATGCTGACTTTGGAATGTTTATAATGCTGAAATCTGTTTATCAACATAAACTTAATCTTGGAGAATTTACATTAAGTCTTGGCAATACATTAAAAAGGTCTGCTACATTCACAAGTATATTTAATCAAATAACTAATGCAGATATAACCTATAAAAACTATGAGAATCAAGTTGCTTATGAAAATGACTACTTTTTTTGAAAATTAATTTCCCTTTCTGGAAACCTAGTTAGGAGATAGAAGAAAGTATAAAGTAGGTAGACTATACTCTTTTTTTCCTTTAGGCCATGCAGGTTTATGAGTTATTTTAGTTTTAACAATCTCATTCACTACTTTGATTTTTAGATAGAAAGCCCAGTTAGATTTGGTTCCTAGCATCATTACCTAAACATATGTCATACCTGTATATTCACTGTAAGTTTATGAATTTGATTTGAGAGACAAAGTTGAATAAGAAGTGCCCCTTCCTCTGCCACATTTCAGTCTGGTGATTACAGACAAACAGGTAACTTCAAAATAATGTGCTTGCTTTTGTACCAGGACTATACACACAATTATAAAACAAACCAGGAGGAAGCTTTTTACAGAAGCAGGATAGTTGTTCTTGAGGAGAAGGCTTTAGGAGAGAACATAGAGCCATAGTGTTTGACAAAGTAGTGATGAGGCAGCAGTTCTAGATAAGAAGCAGCAGCTTGGTGCCTGCAAGGAACTCCAAGCACTTGGTTTAGGGGCTGCGAGCTGCATGCAGAGTATTGATGACTGTAATAACCATCGCTGGTGCTTAGCCCCCAGTGAGTTCTAGGCACGTTTCACAGGGCTTGCTGACTATGTATTCATCTGGTGCTCACAGTGATCCAAAGATAGATAGTGTTCTACTCACATTCTACACAGAATATCAGTATTGGGCCGGGGAGATGGCTCAGTGGAATAAGTGCTTCCCAGGCAAGCACAAGGGCCTGAGTTCAATCCCCGGTTCCGCAAAAAAAGAAAAGAAAAAGCAAACAAAAGAACCCCCCCTCAAAAAAAAACAAACAAAAGAAACTTTAAAAAACAGAATATCAGTATCCTACATGTAAGTACACAGACAGAGAGTGGAGCCCCAGCAGACGGACTCTAAAGTTCTTGCTTTTAACTTCCATGCTTCTTGGATGGTGGGAAGCAAAATCATGTCGAAATTACAGTGTGCTGGGCCAACGCCCAGTAGTCAGTGAGAAGTCATTAAGGAAATTTGACCAGAACATGACAGTTAAAATTGTGTTTGATAAGAACTGTGGTGGGGTATGCAGCAAGACAGGGTGGGAGACTTGGCTGGAAAGATGATGTAACAGTTGCCCACAGGTTATTCAAGGCCTGGGTTGGTTTGCTGTCTGCAAACATGAAGAGTGAATTGGATTAAAAATTGGCAAAGTTGATAAGTTGCTTCGTACGAGTGAGTAGTAACACATTTAGCTCTAGTTTCTTATTTAGACATCGTCACATGAGAGGCAGCATGATTTGTAGGTAGCTTTTCTGATGTACTATGGATGCTATTTACAGATAAGTACACAGCATTTATATTAAAATTATATTCAACTAGTGTGGGTGTACTGTGATTAAAATTGTTTCATTATCAAAAGGCTGCTTGTAACTGTGCCAGATCCTCACTAGCTATGCTTACTTTACAAAGAACAATATCGGTAGCTTTTTCACATTTCTTAGAAAAGATACCTGTAAAAAGTCAGTATTTTAAGATGGTTGTTACATTAAACAGAGGCCAGCTGTTGAACAGGGGGATGACGGGACTTCACAAGAATGTTTGCAGTGGGCTCCATACTACTTCTCTATAAATTCATGACTGTTTCTGTTGTTTACTTCTCTTTCATAGTGTGAATTAGTGCTCTTGAGAGGGCTGGATTGGCAGCCCTGCAGCCTTTCCTGTGTGCCCACCACACAGATGCACCACAGGTAGTGACGGTGCCAGCATCCCCACACTGCCTGCCCCATGCGTCACTCTGCCTCGCAGAGGCCACCTCTAGAGGGGAGGGAAGAGATTGTGAGCCAGTGTGTCACTTGTGGGGGTGGACACTCTACTTAGACTGTGAAATTGCTTTCCCTTCTGCCACAAAAGTTTATTATAATTGGTCCATGCTGAATTTGAACTGCTGACCTAGAGGTGAGATCTCTGTATGCCATTCCCCAGCCATGGCTTCCTGTTTGTCATTCGCACATTTCAGTTGATAATGCTGGCCATCGTGCTCGTGGCTTTAGTTAAATAGTGATTTAGGCAGTTACTGACATTTTCATTGTGAAATGGCATTTAGATGCATGTTTGGTTTTGTTTTCAGATACAAGTTTGCCTCCAAAAGTTTTAGGACCAACGGAAGAAATAAGTGGTAAGAAACAGACAGAAGACACGATTTCCATGGCGTCATCTTTGCATTCTAGTCCTCCTGCATCTCCTCAAGGCTCCCCTCGCAAAGGTAAGACAGGCCATTTCGGGTCATTTGAACGGACAACACTTTCACATACTTAGCTTTTCAGTGTATAAACACGTAATAGAAAGTGTTTCAAGAAAGTCTTAACTGCTAAGGCTTACTTTTTGAACTTCTGTGTTTCATATGGAATTATTTAAATATTTTTTTCAGATATTATGTATCATGTAAATAGGATTCCAGTATTCAAAGCATGGTTCTTCTTTGACAGAGAAAACACAGATTAAAAATAAAAGCAGAAGGCACACTTGTTTTGGTCTATGCTGGCTCTTGATGTCCTCTTTTATACTTTCTTTATTTGAAGCTTTCTGTGGAAAATTGGCAAATAAACATTTCTGTAAGAAAATGGGTTTTTTTTTGTTGTTGTTGTTGTTTTAGTTAATTTTTTTTCCCCCTGTATTTTAGGGAAGGGCCTACAGGGTGTTTAGGGTCTCACTGCTAGATCGGACTTGTACTGATTCTCTTGTTCACAGCCTCCCAAGAGCTGGGATTACAGGCGCGTGCCACTACGCCCAGTCTCAGTTGCCATCTCAGCACTCCCCAGGGGCAGGGCTGGCACAGCATGTCCAGGGATTAAATCCCTGGCTCCTGCGCCATCCTCTGAGCTAAAAAAAAATGTTTTAAATTAGGCATAGAAAAACATATTTGGATCGGTGTTTTCCTTTTTTTAACTGTAGGGTGTTTTTATTTATAAAGATTTAAATAACATACCTTTACAGACTTAGGTGATAGTTGCACTGTACAGTAGTAGTTATGTTGAACTTTGTAAGAGCAAACCAAAACTGTTCTTATTCTTTCACATATATTTTCATAATCAAGACTGAACTTCTCAGGGCTGGCGAGATAGCTTAGCTGACTAAGTGCCTGCTTAGGCAAGCTCAGGGATGTGGGTTTAATCCCTGGTATCACATATGTCACCAATCCTGCCCCAGGGCATGCTGAGCCTAGCACTGAGACTGGGCATAGTGGCAAATGCCTGTAATCCTAGCACTTTCAATGTTGAAAACAGGAGGATTACTGTGAGTCCAAGTTGCGTAGTGAGACCCTGTACCTAATACATTAAAATATAAAAATTAAAAAGACTGAGCTTCTTTTGACTAACCTAGCCAGTGCGTGCAAAGTCTGTTTTGTGTTCGTGCACTTGTAGCATTTGAAATAGTGCGTATTTCTTATGTTGGCTGCTCACACACCACATGTCCTGGCAGCGGGCTTCCCCACCTGGGATCTTCTGCGCAGGTGTGAAAGAATTACATCATTGAGTAACAGTAGCACAGCACAGCATGTGGCCAAAGAGGAGACACACTTAATTCCGGAGCTTGCCTCAGCTCCCACATTTTCAGTTTCCTTTCACTCCTTAGGACTCTTTCTTACTTTTACCGCGTACTGGCAGTAATCCTGACTGTTCCCTGCTGTATCTATTACTGTGTAACCTATTTGCAAGGTCTGGTTTCCTCTCTGACACATTGAAGAAAAGACCATCTGTTTTTAAGCCCTCAAGTAGGGTTTAAATGAAATAAGATTTTTAAAGAGCCAGCCAGATATCTTAGCAGACTAAAGTACAGGCTTAGGCAGGCTGCACTGATTGACCAGGGTTCAATCCCAGCATGCCATGCCGGTCCCAACCCTGGGGCAGGCTGAGATGGTGACAGATGGGACGTGGTAGTGCACCCTGTAATCCCAGCACTTGGGAGGCTGAAAACAGGAGGATCACTTAAGTCCAGTCTGTGTAGTGAGACCCTCTATTCCCTGTACTAAATACGTTAAAAAAAGAAGAAGAAGAAGAAAGAAATAGGATTTATAAAGCCTAGTATGTAGTAACCAATCAGTGTCTCTCCTCTGCTGCCACCCCAGGGCAGCATCGCTCTCCTGCCTCTTCCACCCTCACATAGCTGGGTCTGGCTAGAATTTGGGGATTTTGCTAAAGGAAAGCTTCATGGAAATCAAGTAGGATATAAAATAGTATGTATCATAGGTGTATCTTTAAAACATGCATTTCTGATCCTTTGTAGCTCACATAAGATTTTGTGAGGCACAGACCTGTGTCCTCATTTTGTCTGTCTGCTTCTAAGTGCCTTGTCAGATCATGATGAGTGGAACAGGCAGCCATACTGCAGCCAGGCAGAGGGACTCCATGGACTGCACCCCTGTGTTCATAGTGCTTCTGCAGAAGCATGTGAGACCCTTCACCCCTTGTGGAGCCTCTTCCTGGGTCCATCCAATACAGACAGTTCTGTAAGCTGGATCTGATTTCGTGTTTATGCCTGTGATTAAGGAAAGAGGTGTCCAGGATGGGAACACGTTTCCACGGTTCTTACTCCCAGCATAGAAACCACTCTTGCCACTGGAATAAGAGGTTTTTTTCTCCATTGTTTTTCAGTGTGTAGCCAACAATTGACTGAAATGTTTATAAATTTGTGAGTGTGTCATACTCATGCTTAGAATCCTTAGAGACCAGAAGAATTTCTTTTCTCCAGCACTGTGTCAGGTTGTCATATGTATTCTGTCAAAACCCCAACAGAAAGTAGTATCTCTCCTCTGGAGATGAGGTCATGCAGGTTGCCTGTGGTTGAACAAAAATGTCATTACACTAAGTGTATTTTTTCAGGATCTGTTCTGAGTTCCTGCAAAACTTTGGAATTAGTTGTTTTTATACAATTAAGAAGCTAGGACTATTTCATGTTTTTCCACAGGGAAAATATAAACATTGGAAACTTTAAAAAAGAAGTCAAATTGCTTACAAATGGCCAGCTCAGCTCTCCGTCTTGGAATCTCAGAACGATCAGAAATGGTGCTTTATAGATACACCTACTACATGCAGCGTCTGCATGTCCTCTGCAGTTTGCTTTCTGTGGTGGTCAGATTGAACCCAGGGTCTCAGGCATTCTAGGCACCCATTCCATCACTCAGCTGTGTTCACTCTACGTAGGCTCATTCTAATGAAATCTGCCTGAAAATTCTAGACATACATAATTTCTTGAAAAATAATTCTGGTTAACTAATACTGTTACATTTTCCCTTTTAATTTTATCAGCTTGTTTTCAACAGAATTTTTACTACCATTCTGTCATATAATAACTATTGTGTTTATGTTATGTAGTAGATTTCCATGCATTAAAAAATCTAGATTTTAGTATTTTAGATATTGTTAAGAAAATAAGTTTTAAATAGTGAAATGTTATATATAAGCCAATTAATTGTGATTAATTGGAAAGAATGAATTTTGCATTTCTCCCTCCAGTTGGCAGTGTCCTATCTGATCACAGCATCCTGCTGCGCCTCTCAGGGCCTTCCTCACCCCCTCCCTGTGAGTCCAGCACCAAGATCAGTGGCCAGAGCTGCCCAGGAATAGGTGGGGTTTACTTGCAAAAGAAAATCCTTCAGATTACCAGGAGCACAGCCAAAAGGACAGACAGGACCAAGAAGGCCACTGAGGAGGATAGAGACAGGACGAGTTGTGAGAACACAGCCAGAAAAAGAATGACATCCCCGTTTAGAAGATTTAGGGAAAGAACTCTTTCAAGGGAGAGACTAGTCACCAGCCAAAAAGAGGACCCAGACCACCGTCACGCTCCAGACGGCTGCGAGACAGTGAAGGATGCTGGGCACAGCAGCGCAGATGAGCAAGGCAGTGACATCTGCCACCCCAGTAGCCGAGGCCACAGTAATGCTCTCCACAGCTTCTATACACGACTCAAGTCTAGGAGGAGAAAGACGATCTGACCAAGCTCCGTACTTCATTTTAGTTTTGTTTCTCGTTGTTAATGTAAATATAGTTGAATTAAACCTTTGTCAAACAAAGATTGGGCAGATAACTTAGTAAAATATTATAGTAACAAGTATTTTATGATTAGTGTTACAAGTTCTCAGGCAACAAGTACTGATTTAAAGTGCCTTCTTTGTACATGTTATTTTACTGATGTGTTGTGCTCACTTCAGCAGCACATATACTAAAATTATTGATGTGTTGAGTTAGTAAACTTTATACTCTTGCTTTCTGTAGTTGGCTTTATTTCCTACTAATAGCAGCTGAGTGTGTGAGTGAAGTGAGTAGTTGAATCTTTTTAGGAAACAGTGCTCACTTTAAGCAGAAAACCCCAAATAATCTGTTCTCACCTTTGCATTAGAGAACTTTATTGCTACCTTAAAGCACTTCTACTTTATAAGCTGATGGGCAAAGAAATGCTTTAGGGGTAGGCAAGTTGCATCTTTTCCACATACACTTTCTGTGTCACCCACTGTACACATGACTCTGACTAGGGGGGCATGAGCTATTGTAACATAGGTTCAGAATCATCTGGAGGTCGGAGATAGAGCTCAGTGGCATAAGCGCCTGCATGGCAAGCACAAGGTCCCGAGTTTTATCCCTGCTACAAAAAAAAAATCTGGAAAACTTAATTTAAACTAACAATACTTGCCAAGTGAGATGGTGCATGCCTGTAATCCTCGGAGACAGGAGGCTGAGGCTCGAGGATCACTGCAAGTTTGAGGCCGACCTAGGCTCTATAATGAGTTCAGCACCATCATGGACTACATGGTGAGACCCTGTCAGTCAGTACACACACACGCATGCACGCAAGCAAGCAGGTATTAGCTGGGCATAGTGGCACACACCTGTAATCCCACCACTGTGGGAGGCTGAGGCAAGAGCATCTCCAGTGTTGCTCCAGCCTGGGCAACTAGTGACTTAACAAGACCCTGTCTCAAAGGTGGATAGGGGATAAATCAATGCAAAGGCCCTAGCTGCACCCTCCAGTGCCACCAACAAAAAAGCAATTACTGTTTCTCACATCAGACTTCATAAATATGAATGTCAGAAGTAGCCCCTGGAATATGTATTTTAAAAGGTTTCCATGATTCTTTAGAATTCCTGAGATTTAAGAAATTTTGTTCTTAAAAGCATAACAGTAGAACTTATTTTTTGAAAAGCAGTGATTTTTCATTTGAGGAAGGATTTGCTGTTGCTTTGTATTTAACACATGCATTTTCTTGGTCCTTTTGAAAATTGACTAATCAATTTATAGTCATGGCAAATAACAGTGGGCCCCAACTTCAAAGATGTGTGATGGAAATTAGGAGACTGTCTTCTCTTTGCCTAACTGCTTCTTGTCTCCAAAAGCTAAGTGAAAATAGCACGTTTTCTGAGTCTTGATTTTTTTCATTGAAACAGTTAATGAAACTACTTAACAGTATTGTGCAAAAAGTTTTTTCTTTAATGACTGAGTAATGTATGTACAAACTACAAGATCCATAAAGCAGAGAAAAGATCTTGGAGCTTAGGGTCTTTCTCCATGTGCATAAATAAGTGGGGGAAAAAAAAGAAGTGGAGACCCTGAGAAATCTGGAGCATACTCAGTGCTTTTTAATGGGATTTCTAGAGATTGATCCAAAGATCATGTATTTTTGACTTTCGATGTATTCTTTCTGGGAACATGAAGATTCTGTTCACTTAAAAGACCCTCCCTTTCCTGGGATTCCTATGTCTTTATTTCTAAACAGAAGTCTGATTTCTTTTCTTTCAGTTATCAAAATAGACTGTTATGTACATTTAAGCCTCCTGCTGCAGATTGGTTGGGGGCCTTTCCTCCTCACTCGTCCCCACTACTTTATCCCAGAGAATACTGAAGAGAAAATCTCTAGCTATTTGCTGTGCAGTAAGTCATAGAAGCTAAACATGTAGATGCTTATTTTTTATTATACACTACTTTCAATCATCAATTCAGCTGTTTAATATTCTACAAGACAAGTAAAAAGGTATAAAATGAAGTACAAATTGTAAAACAATTTAAAAATACTAAGAGCTGAGGGTATGGCTCAGTGGTGGAGCATTTGCTTAACATATGTGATGCCCTGAGTTTTGGCTTTAGCTTTGCAAAAAATTACTGAAAACAAATAAATAAAAGTGCTGAAGCCATGGCTTAGTTCAGCCAAGACTTCTTAAGTGGCGTGAGCAGGACGTCTGGGGTAAGTAAATCAGTCAGAAAGTGTGAATGCAGTGCAGGCCTGGAAGGGCTGCCTTCTGTCTCTACAACCCTAAAGGAAGTAGCATTTTGGATTTAATTCAGACTTTGAAGTGTGTTAATCAGAGAAGGGGCATGTGGTTATGAGGTTGAAGAAGTGTGCTGTGAGTGCTTTTTTCTTTTTTTCTTTTTTTTTGTGGAACCAGGGCTTGAACTCAGGCCCTTGAGCTTGCCAGGCAAGTGCTTATTCTACTGAGCCATCTCCCCGGTGGGTGCTTTTTAATATTTGTAATATTTTAATAACTTTAATATTAAATACTTGTAGCTCTGTAAGAACCTGGGCAAGATATAGTTGCTTTGGACTAACTTCTTCAGTAATAATGAATATTGACTTTCTTTTTCTGAATTTGGAATTGTACTGATGTGGTATGGCTAGGTAGATGAATGACTGTGTGGGAAGATGTGTGGGAGAAATTGGCATCGTTCCCTGTACATAGATGGAAACTGAGGTCACCACTACGTTGTCTTTTGCCCTCTTTTCTCTTTCTTGTCTCCCTGACACGCACCCCCCCCCCATTCCTGGGTCTTGTAGTTTGACGGGTGCACTCTTCTTGTTCAGGTTATACACTTACACCATCAGCTAAATCTGACAACTTGTCCGACTCCAGCCATAGCGAGATTTCTTCGCGGTCCAGCATTGTGAGCAACTGCTCTGCTGACTCCATGTCTGTAGCTCTGCAGGATGAGCGCTGTTCCTCCCAGGCCTTGGCTGTCCCTGAGTCCACTGGGACATTGGAAAAGACAGAGCACCCCTTGGGGATAGGAGACCATGGGCATCTTGGACCTGGGTAAGCATCCTTGCCTATTCCACACGACCCAAACCAAAGGCTGTCATTAGCCATACTCCCAAGCTTTGACCATGTGATCTCCCCCTTGTGGCAGTGGCAAGCCCAAGCACATTCTCTCTGTACCAAATACAAAAATATACTGTTTGAGCAACGTGGACCTCCACCCCCACCCCCATAGTAGGGATTAAACTCAGGGCCTTGCTGGGTGTGGTACGCTCATCTGTAATCCCAGTACTTGGGAGCCTGCAGCAGGAGGATCACCATGAATTCAAGGCCAGACCAGTTTTGGCTACATAGTGAGTTCAAGGTTAGCCTGAACTACGTGGTGAAATCCTACCTCCCAGATTTACAAAAGACAAAAAACAATTTTAGGGCCAGCCAGATAGCTCAGTGGACTAAAGCACCTGCTTAGGCAGAGTGCAGGGGCTGGGGTTCAATCCCCAGCCCCTGCACAAGCAGTGCTGGCCCTGCCCCCAGGGCCTGCTGAGACAGCAATTGAAAGTAGGCATGATGGCACATGCCTAGTCCCAGCTCCTGGGAGGCTAAAAACAGGAGAATCACTGAGTCCAGTGTATGTAGTGAGACCCTGTAGACCCTGTACCAAATACATTTTTTAAAAAATTTAAGATAGAAAATCAAGGCTTTCACACTGAATCCCTAGCTCTTTTTTAGTTTGAGACAGGGTCTCAGGCTGTAAGCTGCCCAGCCTTGGCTTAAACTTTCAGTCTTCCTGCCTCAGCCTCCCAGAGTGCTATGATTACAAATGTACATCATAACCTTCAGTTTGAGTGCTTTTTCTTTTTTATCCAGATAGGGTCTCATTGTAGTTTAGGTGGCCTTGAACTCACCATGTAGCACAGGCTGACCTCAAACTCCCAGATACTCTTGCCTCAGCCTCCTGAGTGCTGGGATTTAGGCGTGAACCACCATACCCAGTGCTTATCTTAAATAGTTGTTGAATTCAAGTAGCTTTCTATGTCATACATAGAAGTTTCAGTAAGTAAGACCATAGAGTATGCTCACTAATGACAGGAGGAAAATGGTTCCTAAAATCCTGGATGGAGGCCGGGGAGATGGCTCAGTAGAATAATGCTTCCCTGGCATGCGCAAGGGCCCAAGTTCAATCCCCGGTTCTGCCATAGGGGGAAAAAAAAAATCCTGGATGTTAGGTATGGTGTTGCCAAAAAGTTGTATAATAGGAGATAACCCCAAGCCCTGTGCATGTTGTCGACAGGTTGGCAGAGTAGGACCAGCCCTAGATCCCTGTTCTGTGAAAGTACTATTTGGAGAATAAAAATAATCAATAAGCAAAGGTTAATTTTTTTAGATTTTCTAATTGCAAATTTCTTTTGAGAATCAAGCAAAATGGAACTCTTTTAAGAAAGTGGATTCTAAACTGATAAATATAAAAAACTGATAAATATAAAAAACTGATAAATATTGTAAATCTGGTCTGCTTTAATACACAGTACCTAAGATATACTAAAGTATTGTTATATTTGTAAAGGTTTCTATACAATGATTTTATAAATCAGAGATCATCAGTTTTTCTGTAAAAAGGTATTTCACAGGACAAAGCATCTGTTATAGCTGCTCTGCCTTTGGGGCCCCAAAACAGCGACCTACAATACAGAAGCCAATGGACACCTGTGTCCCAGGACTTGATAGAAAGGAACAGAATCCCAGAGGTAGCCTTAGACTATAGTTTGGTCACCTCTGTGCTGTACAATAAACCAGTGTCCAAAAACATTTTATGAAGGACTAGACAGTAAATATTTTAGACTGGCAGGCTACATATGGTCGTCACGAGTACTTTGTGCCTTTTGTTTGTTTCAGTGCTTTAAAAGATAAAAACTAGTCTTTGTTCCAGGGCATACAAAAACAAGGCTGTTGGTTACAGTTGGCCTCTGTGCCTTAACTTGGAGGTCCCTGATAGAAACAAGGGGACCCATCTAGTGGTAGCTGGGGGAATTGGAATTCACTTCTACCATGCTACAAGGCTAACTTAAGGTATACGTTGAAAATGAAACATGGTTTCATCAATTTGGGTTCTTAATTCCGTATAAGTAGAAAATATTATATTAACAAGCATGAAAATATGTACTTTATTTTAAATTTCATCTTTGTTTTCATTTAAAATTTTTTTGAGAAAATCTTGTCTAAGCATTGACTTTCCTCAGTGTATATTTCTATTACTGTGTTCTGTAGTTTTTTATAGGTGGTCATACTTGAGGTGCAAGATTTTCCAGTAAACCAGTAAATTACTTTTAATTGTGCATTATCTCCATTTTTAGGTGGACACTTTCAAAGCCATCTCTAATCAAGGGAATAGCTGTCTCATCTTCTGCGAGCAATGAAGAGATTTCTCATGAGCATATTGTCATAGAAGCAGCTGATAGTGGTCGAGGAAGTTGGACTTCCTGTTCAAGCAGCTCCCATGACAACTTCCAAAGCCTTCCAAACCCAAAAAGCTGGGACTTCCTGAACTCTTATAGACATACCCATTTGGATGACTCCATTGCTGAAGTTGAATCCACTGACTGTGAGCCCTACTCCTGTCCAAAAGGCTGCTCTAGAACTTGTGGGCAGTGTAAAGGGAGCCTCAACAACAGTCAGTTGAGGCAGAGTTGGGCCTCCTCCAGTTCTCTGTCTGACACGTACGAAGCAAACTATGGGACCATTAAAAGGAGAGTTTTGGAGGCCACCCCTGCTGAGTCATCAGATAGCCTGGATCCAGTTTATAAAACAGTCACTTCCAGTACAGAAAAGGGCTTGATTGGTAAGTTCTCTGTGTTATCCTCATCTTTATCACTTAGAAATTGTAGCCAAAAAAAAAGTGATGTTGAGATATCTTGGCCTAGGATTTTATACATGGAAAAACTTGTTCACGGGGCTGGGGGTATAGCTCAGCAACACAACGCCTGCCTGGCAAGTACAGGATCCTACATTCAATTCCTGGTACAAAAAAAGAACTTGTACACTTGTTCTACCATTTTTTTCTTCTGCAAAAAAATTATTTTTTCCCCATATTCAAAGCTGAGGAGGGTTCAATCCCCTGTCAGCATGCCTTGCCGGCCCCACCCCTAGGGCACGGTGAGCTGGCGACAGATTCCGGGCATGGTGGTGCACCCCTGCATTCCCAGCACTGGGGAAGCTAAAAATAGAGGGATCACCACCAGTCCAAGCTGTATAGTGAGACCCTGTACCAAATACAAAAATGAAAAAAAAAAAAAAAAAGACTGAGGGACTTAAGGGCAGATACTCATGCTGTTAAAAATGAAAAGTCTGGTATTAAGATATATAATTAAAGGGACCAAGTGTGTCATGTTTTTAAGATATGTTTTTGCTTTATTAAAGAGTGTCATAACAGTTCTCTGCAGCAGTAATAAATTCTATACCTCATAAGTGTTTTGGGCCACAATTACCATTCATACCCGATAAATATATCGAGTTTTCTACTATCTTTAGGGAGGTAAAAGTGAGGAAAACATAATAAAGAAATTCTGAAAGGACTTCTTCATAGAGTGTGTGCTTGGCATGCACACGTCCTTCGGTTCTTTCCATAAAACAGGAAAGAAAGTCAAAAACTTTTCATTACATCTTCCTCGGTGTGTGTCATGAGTTTGCAGCTAAGGTATACATTCCCCTCCGGACCACCTCGAGTGTGGTAGCTGTCGGGCAGTACTTGTGAGCTATCCCCTGAATTCTATAAACACCTCGCTGTACAGCAGCAGCCTCTACCTTGCCACTTACGCAGAACAACTAGATGTCACATCAGTCTCAAACTCAGGACCTTGAGCGTACCAGGCAGGCGCTTGTGCTGCTGTGCTCCATCCCCAGCCCTCAACTCTTAATTCTGTATTTGTGCTATCACATTTAATTATTAAAAATATAAAAGGGAAATGTACTAATTATCTTACTTATCAGATTGGATTGCAGAGGGGATTTTAGCTTATTCATTTTATTTCTTTTTATTTGTTTATTTATGCGTGCGTGTGTGTGTGTGTGTGTGTGTGTGTGTGTGGCCAGCTCAGCCCACCAGGGGGCGGGGCTGGCTGGCATGTGGTGCTGGGGATTGAACCATGGTCCCTGTGCTTTGCTTAGCTTAGCTTGTTCTAAATAGGTGCTTTAGACCACTGAGCCATCTCTCCAGCCCCTTCATTTTATTTCTTAAGATTTTTCAGTAAATCTTTTTAGTGAACTACTGTAAGAACATATAAACCTATGTACAAGGGTACAAAAATCTTTCTCTGGTCCATTTGGGACTGTAGATTTAAAAATATTCATTTCATGGGCAAGTGACTTTTTTTCTGGTACCAAATTGTATCCCAGCCTATTTTGTTTTGCTTCATCCTCATCCTTATTATGTTTTTTGTTTGTTTGTTTGTTTGTTTGTTTATGGGTTTGTTTGTTTGTTTGTTTGTTTTGGCAGAACCGGGGATTGAACTCAGGCCCTTGCGCTCACCAGGGAAGCACTTATTCCACTGAGCCATCTCCCCGGCCCTGTTGTTATGTTTTTTGAAACAGTATCTATGTAGTTAACGCCAGCCTTGAATTCACTCTGTAGCCCAGGCTGGCTTCAGACTCAGTCAACCTGCCTCATCCACCTGAGTGCTGGGATTACACAAGTCACCATCACACCTGGCTTTTTGTTGTTGTTTTGGTTTGGTAGGGGGTGGGGGGTTAGGTTGGGTTGGTTCAGTTCAGTTCAGTTCAGTTCAGTTCAGTTCAGTTCAGTTCAGTTCAGTTCAGTTCAGTTCAGTTCAGTTCAAAACAGGGTTTCACTAGATTGCCTATCCTGAGTTCAAGTTTGTAATCCTTCTGCCTTAGCCTCCCAGAGTGCTGGGATGACATTCATGCCCCACTGTATCCTGCTTATGTTCTTCTCCTGACATTCCTACCACCATCACCCTGTCTTACCTTCCGACCTTGATACTACATGCAAACTTTACTGGGAGAGCGGCAGAAATTTAAATGTAGACAGGCCAATTCTCTAAAGAAAGAGTTAGAAATATTTGATATGGTTAAGATTGTACTGCTTGTGGATATGCAGTTATTGTTGTTTGAAGAGTCACTTCCTGTATTTTGTCTGTTTGTATTGGAAATCAAACTCAGGGCCTTGTGCTTGCCACACAGTCGCTTATGCCTCTTAGCGATCTCCCCAACCCTGTTTGTTTTGTTTTTGAGACTGGGTCTCCTTGTGTAGTTCAGCCAGGCCTTGAATTCACTGTGTAGCCCAGGCTGGCCTCAAACCAATGTCCCAGAAAAAAGTCATTTGCATAATCAAAATATTTACAGCCATTTATCCTGCAGGTCCTGTGGATTGGTTTTAGTTGCATGCAACTTCCTTTTTGTACGTAGTTCTAATAGTTCTCAAAGTCCCAGAATATGTACAGACTTAGAAAAAAGTATCTAAATGTTTTAATTTTCATTTATCTAATGGCTAGAGATGTTGAATATTTCTGTGTGTATTGGCCGTTTATACTGCTTCAGAGAAGTCTTTGTTCATTTCAGTTCAGTTTTTTTTTTTCTTTATGTGTTCCAGATATTAGCCCTCTGTGTAAGAAGTAGCTGGCAAACAAACAATTGTTTTCCTCTACTCTGTAGGTTGTTTCTTCACTGTATTGATTCTTTTGCTGTACTGAATCTCTTTAATTTGTGTAATCCCTTTTGTTGCTCCTCATTGTTATTTCTTGTGCAACTGAGATTTTTTCTGTTGGGGAAGTCTTTGCCTCTTACTGTGTCTTCAAGGGTTTTACCTGTCTTCCAGCAGATTGTTTTACTGTTTAGGTCTTTAATCCTTTTTGCTTTTTGAGACAGGGTCCTGCTGTGCAGTGCAGGCTGGCCTTGAACTCACTGTGTAGCTCAGGCTGGCCTCAGATTCACAGGATTCTTCTTTGCCACTTCCTCCAGCCAGGTCTTTTAGTACATGGTGAAAGATACAGGTCTAGAGGTAAAGTTCTACATGTTCAAAATAGAAAAATTTAAAAGAGCTGGAAATGGGGATGGGGAGCTTGGGAGGGAGAAAAGGGGACAGGAAGGAAAAAGGATCAAGTATGTATTTGTACCAGTTCTTCATGATGAGAATCTTCATTATATACCAGAAAGTTACTTACTATTAAAAAAAATTTAAGGGGCTGGAGATGTAGGGCAGCACAATCACCAACACCACACACACACACACACACACACACACACACACACACATCACTTTTAAAAGAATTAGAGATTTGTTTACATGTCTGGGCTGAGAAGTAGTCTGCACAAGAGTGACACAGAGCTGCCATGCCTTAGCGCAGGTGCCGAGCCAAACAGCCCACAAACGGGTGGCCTGAGTGCTGTTTTTATGAAGAAACTGGTCTGTAGAGAGTAGACGGTTGTGTGCGCTTGTGTTCCTGCCTCAGCCATTTGCCAAGAGGGTGTCTCCTGAGGAGCGTGTTGCATGCACCAGTGAGCTGAGCCGCCAAGGGGAGTCATTCTCAGTGGGCTCCTTCCTTCAGCGTGCTCCCACTCACGCTCTTTGATCTTTGTAAAACTGGATGTGGTTGTATTTAAAAAACAGGTTTGTAAAGGTTATTGAGCTTTACAAAAAGGTTTTAATCAGCCATCATCGCTTTTAAACATACTCATTTTGTCTGTTTTAAGTTTGCCATTGTAATCATCTTCAGTGTTTTTTTTTCATTTCTTACATTTTTTCATTAACATATTCATTGCTTATTTTTCATGCCAGTGTACTGTGTCACCTCACCCAAGAAGGATGGTAGGTATAGGGTGCCACCTCCTACTCCTCCAGGATATGTGGGAATCTCTGTAGCCGACCTAAAGGAAGGACCCTACCCGCACCTAAAACCTCCAGAGTATAGTGTGGCCGTGCAGAGGTCAAAGATGGTGCACAACAGCCTCTCTAACCTGCCAGCCGCCTGTCTCAGTGGCAGCCCCGTGGCCTGTGTCTCATCGAAGATTGTAACTCAGCCTCAGAGGCATAATTTGCGGGCATCCCATCCTAAACTAGCAGATGTGACTGATCCAGATAGCGAAGCAGATGGTATGTTGACAAACTACCTTAATGGCTCTTAAATGAATTGCTAAATGCAGTAATGGTTCTTTATTCTGGTATTTTATGGTGATTAGTAATGTGTGTGTTGGGGGGGTGGTGTTTTGTTTTTGTTTTTGTTTTTAATGCCCTAAAAGTCTCTCTTTAACAATATAGCCAAGCTGTGTGTGGTGATGTATTCCCTTCATACCAGCTCTATGGGAGGCTGAGGCAGAAAGATTGTAAATCCAAGCCATACTGAGACCCTGTCTCAAATTTTAAGAGTGCTAAAGGATGGGCAGGGTAAGTAGCTTAGTCCAGATAATCCTGGATTCAATCCCCAGTGCCAGAAAAAAAAAATCTTTTAGCCATGTATGGTTGTGCATTCCTATAATTCCAGCTACTTGGGCAGCAGAGGCAGGAAGATTGTAAATTGTAGGCCAACCTGGCCTACAACTGAACAAGACCCTGACTCAAAAGGAGTGGGATGTAACTCAGTAGCAGAGTGCCCCAAGTGTGGTCCCAGGACTGCTGAAAGAAAGAAATCTCTTAAGATAGCATATTTCTTAAATGGGGAGGGCAGATGTCTCATTTTTATGCCCAGTAAATGCCCTTCTTCTCACTCAAATGTAGTATTGTTACTTTTTGGGAGAAGAGCAGCTCAGGGTAACAGGAGAATTTTGCAGAGGGCTAGACACCGAGGAGCTGTTTCAGCTGGCACATGGAAGCCAAGTAGTCTGAAATGGTGCTTTTGATGGAGCAGGCTCCTGACAGACTATAGATGGGGCCAAAGTTTGAACAAAAGGGTTTGCTTTCTTAAATATAATTTTCCCCTTTTTCACAATAAAGTGATTAAAACCATTTATGAAATTTTTGTTTATTGTCACTCATCAGTGTGATCAGAAATGATGTTAAACTAAAATCTAGGCTCTGATGGGATATTTGAGGGCTTTCTTCATTGAAGCTGACAACTAGATTCCCAGCTGGCCTTCCTTCACATGCTGCTCTGCCATCTCATGTTTTCTTTGTTTCAGAAAATGAGCAGGTATCAGCAGTCTAGCCTGTGCATGGCCCGTTGGTGATCCCTGAACGTCGAGGGGAAGGAACGGAACTCCGTGGTTCTGCTGGCCGACCCAGATAGAGCTCGCTGCTGCCCCGGCCCCAGGCCCATCGCCTGTGCTCGGAGTCCTTCCCTTCCATCTCAGCCCTGCAGAGTGTGCTTCCTGAGCTGTGGCAGCTGTGCCCGCGCCACACGCCAGACATGCCTGAGACCCCTCCGAGCCAAGCCAAGCCAAGCCAAGCTCAGCCTCCTCCACTCCCTGGACTTCACCGTGGCTTTCCTCTCACAGGTCATTTTAAAGATAATGGTATTATTATTTCCAGGCCGTAGCTTGGGCTAAAGGATGAATTTTAGAGTATCTGCCAATACCAAGAATATTCTTGCGTATTTGAAAAGTAACTTATTATTTGTAGTATTGTGGTTTCGTTTGTATTTGGGAGGTTACTTTGTGTTGGTGAGCTCTTGTTGGCAATTGTTTATTTAAGGCTATAAGACTCTCTGGTCTGACCAAACTGAAGTCACCTTGACAGAAATGATTGTTTGATCTGCACAGAAATGGAACTTCATTGGTAGCGCCAGTACGAGGAGGGTCTTGGGGTGAGTAGGCTACGAAGCCCTTTGTGGTTGAAATAGTAGGAACCTACTGATCTCAGTGTGAAATGAAGTTGCAGTGGGCTTCCTTGCCAACCCTTTGGGAAAAGGAGGAGGAAGAGGACTAGGTAGGTAGTGACTTAAAGTTCTAAAGGATGAGGGTCAATATTCAGTGACATAATACAGATGCTTCGAGGTAAAAGTCACACTGCATCAAATCAGAAACTAAGAGTAAAGAGCCAGTAGAAAATGGGCTCTAGAGAGCTCTAGTATCTCAAAACTCTCATCTAACATTTCTCACAACTCAAGTATCGAATTGTTGCTTGTAAAAGAATTGTGATTGGAGGTGTTGGTCATTGCGAGGGTGAGCTTGGTGTGTTCATTGTGCTCACAGCGCCAGGTTGCATTCAATCTTGAGAAGAAACCTGCAGCTCTCAGCAAAGGTCAGACCAGCAGAAAGAACTGCCAGAAGAGTCTGTGGGAAGGAGGAGCTTGAGTGATGGAAATGATTGTCTCGGGTCGTTAGACCCTGAGAGGAGAAACCCTTCTGGCCTCTTGGGCCTGGCACTCTTAATTTAAGTATTTAATTAAAATTTCAATACGTATTTACTGGATTAAGTGGATTTTTCACATTTTTATGAGTTTTAATGTATTCTATATATATATTAAGTGTAAATTTTTTCATTGGTTTTTAGTGTAAAGGCAAGTGAGGTTTCCTAACATTCTGCTATTACCAGAAAAACACCAAAGCCATTAAGGTGCGCTACTCAGACTGGCGTGGAGTCAGGACAATCACTTCAGAGTTGTCATATGCATGTGGCCATATGAGATTTCACATGTGACTTCTGCATTTTAAAGAGTTTGTACTTTTTTCCCTAGTGTTCTCTGTTTCCTTTGTATCCCCTTCATTTTTTACTTGTTTGAGCATAGGGTCTTGCTGTGTAGCCCAGGCTGGCCTTAGACTTGCAGAGATCCTGCTGCCTCAGCCTCCCAAATACTGGGTATTGCTTTCATTTTAAAACCATGTCACTTCCATGTAGTAATTGGAAGTAGTTCATTTATTTCCCATCAAAATTAACTGTATTTTAGGGAAAATAACATGTCTGAAAAATCCCCCTGGGGTGGGGAGGGGGAAACATGAAACTTAAGCCTTAGAAATTAACCCCAGGCATATTAAAAATAAATCTACTGGCTCCACAGTTTTCTTGGTCCTTCCTTTGTAGTGAAAGGTTGCCTGAACCAGACCCTGGCTTGAAAGTCACACTGTAGTGATTTGGCCCACAAACAGTGATCCTCTGAACCCAGACTTTTTATTCACTGATTTACATACATTGTTTTCATGTCCAGAGGAAAACAAGAAATGAAAAGTATTTTTGCTATCACCACCTTTTTACTAAGTTTGGGTATTTATTCTCACTGTTTCTGTACATTACTTCAGAAAAATTGTGCTGCTTGCGCAGCATCTCTGTATTTAGCATGTGGTCAAACCCAGTGAAAGCCTTACTTCCCTCGTCCTTGGTGGTGTAAATACTGCCCTGCGGAGAGCTGAGGCCTATGGTTGTGGACCGCACCATGCCGCTGCCTTTGTTGTATGTAGCTTTAACTCTGAGTGTTCAGATCAGCTGATCACATTGATCAGGAAGTAAAACCAAATGCTTTGCAGTTTGATATCCTTAAAAAATAAACTTGATTTTTTTAAAAAATCTTTATTTAGGGTACATTTCTGGCATTCTTTGTTTCTCCTACAACTAGCACAACAAAGCCTTAACCTGTATGTGCTCCAATTCCAAATCTCCATTTTTTTCTTTCATTTTTTAAAATTTCTTAACTGTATTGAAGAGGTTGATGCCTTTTCTTCCCACCACACATTGACATCCTCCAAGACTGCTGGAACGGCAAAACCCCAGCGCAGACCCTGGCCAGCTGCTCAGTGTCTGCACCACTTCCTCGGGATGTGGGCTGGAGAACTGGTAGATTGAGCCGCGCTTCTGTTGAAGCATAGCACAGCTGAGCGCTTCCCTTCCCTCCAGAGGAGAGGAGGTTGCTGGGCCTGCCAGGAGGAGCCCTCAGTGTCACGGAATTCTTAAGAACAGACCTAGGAAAGTGTTATCAGGTGTTCTTTCCCTACAAAACAAAAGAGAAAATGCTCCCTTGCATAGTTAAAATAGTGGGTTGTCATTTGGATGAACAAGTGTCTGCAAATCACTGTTAAAGGTGAGTGTCCCTTCTGCACTAGGGCTGTGAAAAGGAGGAGCCCTTGGGCAGGGTCACAGCTGCGTGCGCTCCAGATTTAAGCTGGAGCCCTGGTTTAGCTTTAGCTTTTCTTATGTCTCTTAAAAACATTTTTAATAAACAGAAAGCAGTTATACTTGATCTTTTAAAATTGAAACATGGAAGCTTATAAAGACAAAATTGTCACAATCAAATAGCAATTATACTGCACAATTCAGTGATTGTAAGGCACCCTGTAACAAGCAATGTTTGTCTCCTATTTTTTGATACCTCTTAAAACTTATGTCTTTTAGAAAGACAGTGCCTCTGTATGCTTTTTGTATTTTTACTGAGTGTAAATATTTGTTATATTTTTGGTTAAGAGAATGTAACAAAAGTACCATTTCTTATTAGCCTATTGACTAATACATTGGTGGACTCAATAAAGCATCTACAGTAACCTTCTCTGCACTTTATTGTGAGTGTGTGGAGCAGGTGGGATAATTACACCTGCGGACTCCAGAGTGCCGGCCGGAGACACCAGTTGCTAGAAGGCTTTGAGGTTGGTGGGTTGGTTGGTGGGTTGGGTTTTGTTTCACTGTTGTTGTTTTTTATGTATTTAGTACAGGGTCTCCCTACAAAGCTCCGACTCATAGTGATCCTCGTGTTTTCAGCCTCCCCAGCACTGGGATTACAGGCATGTGACACCACGCACAGATTTGGTCACCACGGGGGTGGGTCAGGCACAGCACCTGGAACCCTTGTCCCTGCGCTGCTTACCTAAGTCCACTAAGCTATCTTGCCGGCCTGTTCTGTTGTTGTTGTTTTGGAGGCTTTGTTTGTTTGTTTTTGAGACAGGATCGTCTTTTGTACTTCAACTTGATTGCTAGTGGGCTACGTAGCCCAGGCAGGCCTAAAACCTGTGGCAGTCCTAAAAGCCTGAGCCACTGCACCAAGCACAGCCTTTATTTTTAGGCCTCCAGAGAAATTGATGTAGTTTATCCTTGTTTACCATATAGAATTTGTAAAATACTTATATAGTCGGGCATGGAGGTGCACACCTGTAATCCCAGCCCTCAGGGCTGTGGCAGGCCAGCCTGGACTCTGGAGTGAGACCTTCTCTAAAAACAAAACTGTGGTGTAAATAAGTTCCAGGGAAGTGTGGAAGTTGTCACTTCTGGCTGGGCAGTTGATAACCCAGGCAAAATCAGAACTCTTGCCAATGAAAAGGGAAGAATGACTCTCAAGTGTGCAGCTGGCTGGCCTGCTTCTGGGCGCAGTTGGTAAGCTGTTTCTTCTGTGAGCTCAGACCTCAGGACCCTGGCAAAGAAGAAATTCTACTTTCGCACCCTTTGTAAGCTCTGCCAGTCTCCCTGTCTGCCCAGGACATGTCACTCCTGTGACAGCTAAGTCTTCTGCCTTCTAAATTTCACCCATCCCGACACATGCACCAGATCTTCCAGAACATTCCTCCCACACCAGCCATCTCGCCACAGTCTTAGTACAATCCAGAAAACACAGTGCTAAACACAGATGTATTCTAGTGGGTTGAACAGTGGCCAGTCAGAAGCATCAATCTTTAATCCTAGGAACTTGTAGACGTCTGTTGTCCCTGGAGAAAGGCTCTTTGTGGCTGTAATTAACCACACTGAGATGAGACTCCGTGGGATCGCCAGTGTCCTCATGAGAGGGCACCTCTGACACTGACAGGAGAGAGCTGTGCAAACATGTGGCCAGCGCTGCAGCCCACAGGAGAGAAGAGTGGGACCCTCCGTGGACCTCGGGCCTTCGGAACTGCGACTCGGCACGTTCCTGTTTCTGGAAGCACCTCTGTGCAGTACAGCAAGTGTACCCGTGACGTTGGGGCGAGGCCCGCGGTGCGGCACCGCGGAGCTCGGCAGCTGGTGGGCCTGTCCTGGCCTGTGTCCACTCAGGTGCGCAGTCTTCTCGGCTCACCTTTCATTTCCACAGCGGCGAGGGAGACTGCCCATCCTCTCGGGTACAAGCCTGGCGCACTGTTGTGCAAAGGTAGGTCTTCTGTTTTCTATTCATTGATAAAGTTGAAAAACAGTTTCATTATGGCTTTTGTTCTTAGTATGGCCTTTGATTGACCAACTTATTTGAACTTATTTTAATGATTTGTGGTTTTTTAATCACTCCGCATGCTTATATCACCTCACTAATCTTTCTGGGCTTGTCCCCTCGCCCTTCCGCACCAGCCACAGTGACAGTGCTGTGCGGAGGTGACGGGTGTGCAGTGCCTGCCTCTGTTCTGATCTTGGGAGCACTTTCAGATGTCACCGCTGCTCATATTGATTGCCATGGATTTTTGTGATAATTATGAGTTCCAAGAAGTTCCCTTTTATGCTGAGAGAATTCATGATGTTCAATTTTGTCAGATGCTCTTCTTTTTAAAAAAATAGGGTGAAAAATTATTTTTCCTTACCTGTTATTAAGTTGAAATCATCAATGTTTTTCAGCATGGACTATGCCCAGCCCTCTTCCCACTATTGGAATGAACTCCACCCAGTTACTTTTTGTTATTGTCTTTATGTATGTTTAGAGTTACTGTGCAAAACTTTGTTAAGGATTTTTGCATCTGTGTTCAAGATAGATGGTAGTCTGTAATGTCCCTTGTAATGTTCTTGTCAGGTTTGGGTATTATACTTGTCCTTACCAAGCTGGCTGTGGTGAGGCACACCTGTAATCCCAGCACTTGGGAGGCTGAAGCAGGAGGATCACCATGAGTTCAAGGCCAGCCTGGGCTACATAGACACTGCCTCAAATAAAAATATATGTATGTATTAGTTACATAATTCAGATGCTTACCACAAAGGAAAGTCCCATCCTCAGTGATTTCATTGGTGACTTGTATGAAACACAGATGTAACCATGAATTACTTAAAATTTCAGCAATAGTGGGGTTTGCTTAAGACGTAAGAAAGTATTAACTCAAGGGCTGGAGATGTAGCTCAGTGGTAAGGAACCTGCCTGCCATGTCCAAAAAGGGTTCCAGCTGGGGTCAGGGGTAACCTACCTCTAAAGAATTTGGTTATATTAAACTTGAAGACATGTATACCAAAAAATACTTATAAGAAATGGTCTAGGAAGTTGGAAAATACAGTTAATTTATATAACTTTCAAAGGACAGGTATGCAGAATATGTGATTTACTTACCGATGTACCCCTGCCCCCCCCCAAAAAAAAAAAAACCCATAATCGTGTTCAAGCTTAATCACTAAAAAAAGAACAAGTTGTCCAGTACACATGTGGAGAGGCGCTTAACGCATTTTGAGAACTTCTCTGTGCACTTGGAGCTGACTGGGGAAGTACTGACTACTGCCCCCTGGAGTGGAGGCAGGAAGTTCCCTGGGAAGAAGCAAGGTGATTTTTTTAAATACACTGGAGCCACCAGGCAGCACTGTTACTTGGGTTGTCAGCAGTGTGTGTTTGTTTGGCGGTCGTGGGGATTGAACTCAGGGCCTGGCACCCACCAGGTGGGCGCTGTGCAGCAGAGCTTCTTGTGGGCCTGTTGTAGAGGCAGTAGGGTAGTGCAGCGCGCTGGCCGTCTCCAGTTACACTGCAGACCCTAGTGAAACATCTGGAGAGAATCTTCAACTAGAAAGTGCAGGGATTTCGAGCAGATTCATTGCCTTGGGTGCTCGCTGGATGGTGGCACGTGCGCAGCATGGCTGCAGCTAATGCCATCCGCCTTTGCAAACCTGGGCACAGGACTGTGGGTGATGAGTCCTGGTCTTTTCAAAGGACCCCAAGGGGAATTTGCCAGACTGAACAAGAATAAAAACAAATGCTTATAGTGAAAATCTAACAAGAGTCACTCAAGAATTAATACTCCAAAGACCTTTCATTCACACTTGCTTGTCTGCTGTCACTGAGGTGGCATTCTCAGTCTT